CTCAGCCTGCACATCCACCTATATATCAACCTCCTCCTCCACCTCCACATCCACATAGGCCCTCCCAATATCAACCCATCCTTACTCAACAGTTCTTTCAAATGCATTATTTTCAAGTGGCAAATGAAGCTCCATCTTCTTCTTCTAGCCATGTTAGTGGAGACAATAATAGGAAGAAAATCTTAATACTTCGGAAGGCGATGGGTAAGTAACTTTTTTAGTGAATTATTTTAACTTTCTTAACATAATATAATTTTTATTGTCTTATATAGGTTTGATCAACACAAGTTGGTAGTGGGGACGATTGCTTCAATCATTCGCTCTAACTTGGAAGAGGCAAAGCCATCATGGAAGAAGTTATCTATGGATCAAAGGGAATCTTGGTTTGATATATTCAAAGTAATTAATTTTTAAATTTTGATTAAAAGATTTTATTTATTTTTGGAAAATGTCTCTAGTATAATCATTATTTTTTTCATTTTTCTCAAAAATAATGTAGTCAAAATTTTCTTGGCCACCTCAATATAATGACATGGTGCGACGTAACTTTGAGAGAAGAGACCGAGCTTTATGGCCAGAGATAATAAAAGTTATGTAAAACTGCTATTTCATTTCTTTATTTTGAAAGAATGATACAATATTTTAAAAAATTGAACATTTTTTACTCACTTTTGTTATTTATATATATATTTTTTCATTAAGTACCTTTTCATTTGCAGGAGAAATTTGAACAAAAGAAAAATGAGTTATTAGCTCATAGTTTTGGGGAGGATGCAATTGATGGTGAACAATCTATGAGCCAAATGCCATCGATTTGGATATATGGATTGATTCAGTTGGAAAAAAAATAAGGGAAGAATATTTGGTTTTGGATCTCTAGGCAAAATGTTAATCATATCTTCAACTAAGAAGTCAAATTTTGAAAATGTTGATGCTTTAAGGAGTCAAATTCAAGCCTTAAATGATTCATTACATAGGCAAGAACAAGAAAAACAAGAAATGAGACAAGAGTTACAAAGACAAAATAAAGATAAGCAAAAAATGAAAAAAAAGTTGACCAAAACTAAGAATCAAGTAGCAGCCTTAATACAACACTTAGGGTTTGTTGCATCTTCTTCTTTACCATCTTCATCATCTTAACATAGCAATGAAAATGATGATGATGAAGACAGTGATCATATTGAAGATGGTAATATTTAAAATTTTATTCTTGAGTTATTATAACACTTAACTGAATTATTGAAGGTGATAATGAAATTGCAGGGAATTAAAGATATGATGTGATTTTGACAACAACATGTTGTCAAAGCTGACAGAGACACGAGCAAACTTTATTCCTGAGGCGTGTATAATCACTGCCCTTAAGGACTTATCCGTGGTGTATTGCGCAAGTCCCCCAGGATACAACAGGAATTTCTCGGGATATCCGAGGATCTCAGAAACTAGCAAGAAACTCTCAAAAGAGTAAATTAACCCAGGAACATAGAAAAGATCAGAGAAGAAAAGATGAGAGAGGTGTGTTCTGAAGAGTGTGAAGTGGTCTCTATTTATAAGAGATAGTCTGTAACAGTTATGGAAGACTTGGTAGTGGGTCCGTAACGTTTCCTGTAACGTTCTCTGTAACGTTCTCTAAAACGTTCTCTGAAACGGTCTTCTGCAATGTGTGCTCTTAAACATGAAAGAATTAATGGTTGAGTTCAAGATGGGGGTGAATTGAACTTTAAAACTTTTTCGCAAAACTTACTTTCTTTTGGAAGAATGAGTTATCTTTATTCAATCTTTGCAAAGGTAATTTGGTTTAAACACAACAAGTTTATAGACAGAAAATAAAAGAGATGAAAGAAGAAATTTAACACACAAATTTATACTGGTTCACTCTAATCCAGAGCTACATCCAGTTCTTGACAAACCTGTCAAGTTCCACTAATACCAAGTGAAAATTTACAACCAGTAGATACTCACCAATCTACCCCAAGAACTATCTTGCAAACCCACAAGACGGAATCTTGAAAACCACCCAAGTAACCAAACCCAAGTCATCGTACCAAGTGCAGATCACAATCCAACCTGCACAATCACACTTTTACAAAAGAGTATGGAAAGAAAAAACCTGGACTTGAAGTTCTAATTGTCCGTAACAAATTCTAACAAGCACTTTCTCTCTTTGATTGACCACAATTCTGATCACAGAGCACCTTATGATATGAAAAGATTCTTGAATGCAGAGAAAGTCACGTATATAAAAGTTTCACAGATTGATTTCACAAGATTTCTCAAGTAGTGTAGTGTATATGTGTTTCAAAAGATAGATCAATTTCAGTATATATAGAGTAAAGCATAGAATCGAATGTTCCAACTGTCAAAAACTATTTCGAGAGTCAAAAGATCAATTAGTTTAAAGTAAAACATTTTTAGAAGAGACTCGATCGATTAGAACTTAAGTATGATCGATCAGATCGAAGTTATGATCGATCGAATGAAACTATGATCGATCAGATCGAAGTTATGATCGATCAGAATGAAACTATGATCGATCAGAATATATTTCAATCGATTAAAACATCGATTCAATCGATTAATTTCATTTAAAGCTCCATTTAATCGATTGATTCGAGTTTTTAATGGATTGAAACAGTTTTATGAAAAATGAAAGTTCTCTGTTTCAATCGATTAAAAATCATTTCAACAGATTGAAATCCTAAAAACACTTAGTTAAAAAAATAGCCTCTCTGTTTTAACAGATTAAAAATTATTTCAACAGATTAATTTTCTGAAAAACTCTTAGACTGAAAAAATAGTCTTTCTGTTTCAACAGATTAAGATTTATTTCAACAGATTGATTTTCTGAAAAACTTTTAGACTGAAAAATAGTCTTTCTGTTTCAACAGATTAAAATCATTTTAACAGATTGAAAAATGCGAAACTTTGATATTGAAAAATTCATTGAGTTATTTTAACTTGTTGATTCCGCGAATCAATCAATTGAAAATATGATTATGTATGACCTCTTATTCTGTTAAGTGATTTTAACATATTGAAAATCCTTTTCAACAGATTGAAAAACTTAGTTTGTTCTTTTAATACTTAATTGTTAGTTTTTTTTCATGCAGCAAAATGATTTTCAATGGGATGCAACATTATAAGGCACTTATCACAAAATATAATGGACTATCAAGAGATTAAGTGCTTAAACTAAAAACCTAATCATCTACACACCCACAACCTAAGCTATATCTATGTCTTCATCAAATCCACCAAGTGCTTCAATCTCCCCTATTTGATGGAGACAAATAACCACTGCACCTGCATAAAAAATAATGCACCGTAGACATATATTTTGTGGTGTGTGTGTAGTGACAGCTTTTAAGCAAAATACTTCTCCCCTATTTGACTCGCATCAAATAGATTGTTTTAGTTACAGATCAATGGGGCCACGTGGGTACCCCGAATATAAAACAGAACATTAAAAACTAAGAAAATAAAAAACAGAATAACAGAAACATAAAAAGTCTTCATTCGTCCCCGGGGCCTTGATTGAATTGCAGTTCCACAATCCTGTTGTAAATATCTTCTAGTTGATTATCAATATGCTGGAACCTTGCAATGAAATTTTCATCCAAATAATGTCGTCGAGCCCTCGGAGCAGCGAGTCATCCGCATATGCCTCCTTTGGTCCGATTGCAGCTCGCTCATTTGATGTAACATTGTTCTTTCGAACCGAGACGGAGGCGTGCCACGATCGAAGCGGTGGATTGTATGGAATCATTTCCAAGTGGGGTCATTTCTTCCATTGGATCGGACGGACGTGTCTGCGAAGTTCCAGGAATATCAGTGTTGATTCCTTCCTCTTGCTCTTCTTCATCACTTTCTTCACTTCTCCCAGCATCTTCTTTCGAGATCCATTCACCATCAATTTTAATGAATCCCATTTTGTGAATCACAGATTTATTTATTTCATTCGTTGGTCGGATGGTTTCAACAAGTTCTCCTTCTACATTGACACCAAAATGTGTTAAAAACTTAGAAATCAGAATAGCATAAGGATACCTGAAATCACTAAGTCTCTTAGCTTTGATCATGTGGTCCTTGATGACGAAGACCCAGTTCACCCGTATCCTGTGGTGAATGCAATACATCAGTACTAAGTCTCCTTCGTTTAGCACCGCATGATTGCTTCCCCTGGGTGTAAGCTGCCAGGACACAATGAAGGCGAGAATCCTTTCTTCCAGCTTCAGCTTCCCAGTATTGAAAGAACTGACAGAATCACTAGTATTCTTCATACATGACCGAAAGTACTGGACCTTATTAAATTCCTCCACATCTGAAGTGTATCCTTTGGTGACTTTTACACCAGCATCCTTTATTCCAGCAACCTCTTTCCAGATGTTGGGTGTAATTTCAATGTCTACACCTTTAACTTGGGTTTTCAAAGTGGAACCTTCAAAGGATAAATTTGTGAAGAAAACTTTAATCAAATCAGGATAAATCCTACCATTTAACTCTAGAAACTTCTGAAGCTTTTGGTGTTGTAGTAGCTTTTGAATGCCCCTGAATCCTTCGGCATCAAACCAGGAGAACTTTAACATCTTCGGAATGTTGACTTGCTTCCTGCTCAATTCATGGATAAACAAATCCATTTTCTCTTGGTCCCCATTGAACCAAGTTTCAATCCTTCCTCCAACATTCTGTTCTTGCCTTGCAGTAGAAGACTCGCCTCTGCTGGACTTCTTCCTACCAGACTTCGTGCGCTTGAGCATATTTTATTTTTGGGATGAGCAGAACAGAGAAAAACCGAGAAAAGAGAAAGTTCAAAGAAGGAAATAATACTACAGGAATAAGAATATACAATCCTTTCAGCTTCAAAAATTTTGTCTTTACTGAATAACTGCTTTTCTGCTTCTGTGCAGTGATGATAAAGGTGGAGAGAGAGAAGGAATGTGTACTGTGTACCTTAATTACCCTCACATCTGATATCCAATCAGAGTCAATCAACTTTTATT